TCATTAAGAAATTTCACTTCATTCAGAATTTATGGGCAGCTTAAGTCTTTCAGAGTTCCTTAATCAGGCTTGACAAACTGTAAATGAGCTATTCCTATGCTATTGGCTTTGCAGGTAACCACTCTGAACAATCAATGACTCATCCCCAGCCCATTCAGCTGCCAGCTGGAGATTCCTGTCATTGTTCAAATATGGCTATTGTCATCTGGATAAGCTCCCCTCACTCTGCATATGTTAGACCCCTATGTTATCTTAGTCCCAGTACTACAGTGGCAGGGCGTCTCAACAGTGGCGTCTCTAGGGTTGGTGTCACCTGGTTCTGTAAAACATGGGGTCACCCCCTTTTCAAATTAATAGCCTGAGACTGACGGTGCATGGTCACGGTGCACTGCCCACCCCAGCACCCACCTAGATCCAGCCATGGTACTAGTGTTGTCACCTTTTCTTGAAGTCAAGCCTGAACACTTTAGCTGCGCATGCCACAGGAAACAGTGGGAGTGTGCACATTACTTTAACAGTGGGAGAGGCTTAAAATGGCATGGGTAAACAAAAGCATTCATGTACCCATAAAATTTGCGTAGTTTGCTGTGCAACAAGTAGGACTCTATGAAGACCTGTATAAACCTCAGCATGATCATTTAAAAAAAAAAAAAAAAAAAAAAACTCTTTCACTACACATGATTTTGCGTACTTTGAACCAGACAGGTGGCAACCCTGAGGCTACATTCAAACTGGTGATTTATGCTGGTGCGAATTGTAATGGCTGGAATCTTTTGATTCCTGTTGTGGCTCTAAGTGGCTAGGTGCAGCCACAGGTCCCGTTCACACTGACAAGTCACCGGCAGCCACAGCTATTTGTGTCTCTCTGCACAGCCAGCAATTAACTGCAGTGATCACTGTTGGAAGCACACAAACTGCATCCAGCAGTGATCACTGCAGGTAATCGCGGGCTGTGTAGAAAGTGAACAGGGCCAGCAGCTGCACCTAGCCATTAGAAGATTCCTACCATTACAATTTGCCCCAGCCCTAGTTACTTGTGGGTAATATAGCCTAAATGTGAAGAGAGTCATTCCCTGTACCATGACACCAGAAGACCAGCCTAAATATGGCAGGCAGCCCTCTCTGTACACTGCTTTACACATATGACATTACAGCTGCTTCCAGGCACAGTCTGCCTTCTGACCCTCCTCATCCCCCCACCAGTCACTTTCTCCGAGAACCTGCGCTAACTTAGTGGGTTTAGCCATCTTTCTGTGTCACCTCTCTGACATAATCACGGCCTGGCACCCCTTAGGCTGTGTATGTGAACCCCACACAGGGCCGTCTTTAATGCGGGGCAAAATGGTCAGCTACCCGGGGCCCAGTCGTTGTGGGGCACAAAGCAGCTGTCTCTTAAACCCCCTGCTGCCCGCAGCCGAGCGACCGGGTACACATGGGAAGCAGGGCTGTACATATTCGCCAGCTAGCAGGGAGGATGGGGCCGCGAGCGCCACTGACAGTCTGACCCCACCACATGCAGCCTCTGTATGGTCGGGAGACCACGACTGCACTAGTAGCTGGGATAGGAGTGGGAGCAGCAGCAGTGAGAGCCTCCGCAGAGCAGATCACATGGTGACAGGTATGTCCTTGTCCATAATTTCATTATATCTCATAGACTGCCTCTAGATTGATTCCTGGTCTGTGCCAGTTAGAGCCCATAATGAACCACACTGCTTGATGGTCTTTAAATGTTGCTGATGATGTGCAATATCTCTGAATGGGGGTAATCCAGTTGGCAGAAAAAATATTTCTGCTGCAGTGGAACACTGCTATCTGTTGTCATCTCTGAAATGTCAAATCCATATTTTATCCTAAGGCTTAAAGTGGTTGTAAAGGGTGACGTTTTTTTTTAAACCTTCAGTCTGCATTCACATATTAGCGGTGCGGGAAATCATATGTGATTTGGACGGGAATTGCACCACATTCAGGTGGCAGGCAGAAGCATGGTCAGTATGCAGGCAACTGGTTGGTCTAGGAAGGAGGCAGAAACGTGGTTGGGAAAACAGGCAAATGGTCAGTACACAGAACATCAGATAAAGGGAAATAGCAGGTAGTCAGACACATGAAAAATATCTTCATCATACCTTCACTAATATCGTTGTGAGGTTTAGTAGCGACAGCATCAGTCTCCTATGCAGAGGTCAGGTTGTAAGGGACATTGGAGACAATAGTAACAGATGTCACGACTTATTCTATTTCTGGTGCATACATGACATTTTGGGGTGGCGGGGTTTTGGTCTGTTTCGGTAGGAGGGATAATATAGGGAAAGCGTCTGCTGCTGAAGCCTGCTGACTGCTTTAGAATGAAGGTTTTTTTGGTGGAAAGTCTTCCTGGTAAGTAAGGGCTGTGAAATCTCCTCTTGATACTTTAGGTAGGCGCCAGATCCTTCTGCGGACTTATAAAAGATGTAAATGGCCAGAAGGAACCAGTAGATTTAGACACATACAGGTCACGCTGGCTCTGGTGACACTGTACTGGTATAACGGTGGGAATGTACTGGTGTGCCAGCAATCAGATACAGCTGCTGCTGATTGCACTGGTGACACTGTACTGGTGTGATGTGGACATGGACACAGATGTTGATGGCTGCACTGGAGACAGATGTTGATGCTGTAAAGGTGACGTTGCGACAAATGTTGCTGGCTGAATCGGTGACCATGTACTCATGTGGCATTGACCATGTACTGTTGTGACGGAGACACTGGTACAGATGTTGATGTTGTACTGGGGACACTGGGACAAATGTAGATGCTGCACTGATGACACTGGGACAGATGTTGATGCCGCACTGGTGTGTAACAGTTTACACTGCCTAGCTAGCAATCAGGGCTCTGTAGATGGCTGAGGTGTGTTTTCACAGTAAAATGACAGTCTTCAAAGTTGAATCACAGAAAATTCAAATACTAGGGCACAGATTCTTCTTCTCACACATGCACTCTGAAGAGGAGAGCCGATGGCTTCAACAAGCAGCCTGTGTTTTACATTTGTGATCACTGTAATTGGTCACAGCGATCGCATGGTACATGGCCAATTTCTTTGGTTCTGTACCCTGATGGATGATCCACTCACAGATTGTGCAGCTGCGCACCTCTGGAGGGCATGCATGAGTGGCTAGAATAGGAAGGTGTATGGCTACTTCTTCCCAGAACAGTGCTTATGCTGGCAGGCTGTATACGTACAGGGTCCATGGAGGAAGCAGTTATTAAAGGGACCCTACCACCAGAAAAGTGTTGTAAATGCTTTATTGAATTCCACCCTGTGCAGATTGTGTACTATGAGTGGAGAGTGCAAATTCTGGTGCAGCTCTGCATAGAAACCAGATAATTTCCAGGTTTCTTTTTCGAAGCTTAAGGCTAGGTTCACATCTGTGCGGGTGGTGCCACTGTGGATCCGCACGAAAATCCGTGCAGCCGTACCACCCGCACAGAGAAATGCGGACCCACAGGTGGGTGCCATTAGTTCTAATGGAACGCCGCCCGCACTGGAAAATGCAACCATACTGGGAACCGAAGTTCCCGTGTGGGCTACATTTTTGGAAGAAGTGCAGGGACTTCTTCCCTGCGTATCACGGGCACGGGAGTCCATTCAAATGAATGGGCTTTCGTGCCCACACAAAAACGAGGCCCGCACAGCCGCATATATGTTAACCGGGGGTTATTGAACAAGCTGAAGTTAGAAGCTGATTGGCTACCATGCACAGCTGCACCAGATTCTCAGTGCACCAGTTTTAGTAATTCTTCCCCTATGACTTTCCCTGAGTGAAATCTTTGTGACTTCCGTGGAGCTTTAACTGACTTTTGGTTTTATGTCTTCACTGCAAAAACAGTGAAAACTCATTGGCAATGAGGCAGAACTTTCTGTTGTCATTTTTTAGTTACTGCACTTTGCAGCATGGAAATTCAATAAATGTGTTTAGCTTTAGGCTTTTCAGTTGAGCCGTCACCAATCATAGCAATCTAAATAAAAGAGGCTAAAATAGATTGCCTCCTGTTCTGTGCTTGACATTACCTTCCCTTACTGGCTGTTGTGTAAATATGTGCCTCACGGAATTCTTCCGTAAACATTAAACTTTCTCCACTTCACAGTGCATCATTCAGCAGAAGAGTGCTAGCTGGAACACGTGGAGATACCTAGTTTAACATAGCCACTCTGTACTTTTAACACTACCTTTCCTGAATTCAGTTGGAGGAATTTACAAAGTCTGGAGCAGCTGCACATGGTAACCAAACCACTTTCTTGCTTTCATTTTCAAAGATTTAGGGCTCATTCACACCAGGATGCAGAGATGTCAACAAAATCAGTTGCTCTCTATGTGTCCTGTTCACACCACAACACTAATATAATGTGCAGATTATTTTCTGCGCAGGAATCCGTAAACTGTATAAAACTCATTGAAGCGTGCATGGAAAATGATGTCTCTGCAAGTGAAATCTGCACATCAGTTTCCATCAGTCTCTGATGGAGACATCAGTTTCCATGCACACTTCAATGAGTTTTATACACGTTACAGATTCCTGCGCAGAAAAAAATGTGCACTTTATACTAGTGTTGTGGTGTGAACAGGGCACATAGAGAACAACTGATTTTGTTGACATCTCTGCATCCTGGTGTGAATGAGCCCTAAACCTTTGAAAATGATGGAAACTGATGTATCTGCAAGTGAAATCTGCACATCAGTTTCCATCAGTTTTTTTTTTTTTTCAAGTGTGGTGCGAACAAGGCCTAACTGAACAAGCTGAAGATAGAAGCTGACTAGTTGCTATGTACAGCTACTCCAGATCAGCTGCTTTGATGCAGTATAAATTAAATGGTACCAGTCATAACAAGATGTCTATATAGCATAAATTGCATACTTTTACCATTGTCAGAAGGGCACTACAGAAAGTTCTAGTTTTGCTAAATATGCAGATAATTCTTTAGATCTAGCTCTAATGAGCAGGACCCTCTGGTTCCTACTGTATTAAAGTGGTTGTAAAGGCTCAAGGTTTTTTACCTTCATGCATTCTATGCGGAGCAGTGCCCCTACCCACCTTAATACTTACCTGAGCCTTATCACGATCCAGCGATGTGAATAATCTGCCTCGGCTGTCCTGGGTCTCTTCCTCCTCGTTGGCTGAGACAGCAAGCGAGAGCCATTGGTTCCAGCTGCTGTCAATCACAACCAGTCAGCCAATGAGGAGAGAGAGGGGGCATGGCCAAGCCGCCGCCCTGTATGTGAATGGACATACGGAGCAGCAGGTACCCCCATTGCAAGCTGCGTGCTGTGGGGGTACCTGACAGGAGGTAGGGGCCAGGAGAGCCTGCAGGGAACCCGAAAAGAGGAGGATCCAGGTTGCTCTGTGCAAAACCACTGCACACTGCAGGTAAGTATAGCATGTTTGTTATCCCCCCCAAAAAAAAAAAAAAATGAACCTTTAGAATTGTTTTAAATTATATTGTAATTATCCAATCTGCCGTTATGTTGTAAAGCACTGCATAAATTGTTGGTGCTATATAAATCCTGAATAATAATAATAATATAATATCTGTGTCCTATACTAATAAATGATGCAGGTAATCTAAAAAATATTTCCACTGCTGCCCTAGTCCATAAAGAGATAAAGACAACCAATAGGAGGTGGGAACACTGCTGGTGTCATTCCTTCCTATAGAGCAGCAGTTCTCAACCTGTGGGTCGCGACCCCTTTGGGGGTCGAACGACACTTTCCCAGGGGTCGCCTAAGACCATCGGAAAACACATATTTCCGATGGCCTTAGGAACCGAGACACCGCTCCTCTATCCGTCTCCAGGTGTGGGCAGGATGACATGCCGTCCCTGTCATCTGGACACACACCCGGGATCAATCCTCATCGGTGATTGGAGGTGGAGCTTGGAGAGGAGGAGCCGAGCGGCACCGCGAAGATCGAGCGAGTGAAGAGGAGGAGAGCGGCCGGAGAAGGAAGACATCTGACCGGTAAGTGTCTGTACCATGGGAGAGGGAGGGAGCGAGCGAGCCCAGGCTGGAGCAGGGGTCAGCAAGGTAAGTATCATTGGTGTCAGTGGGAGGAATAGTGCCCCATCATTGGTGTCACTAATACCAATGATGGGGCACTATTCCTCCCCCCACTGACACCAACGATGGGGCACTATTCCTCCCCCCACTGACACCAACGATGGGGCACTATTCCTCCCCCCACTGACACCAACGATGGGGCACTATTCCTCCCCCCACTGACACCAACGATGGGGCACTATTCCTCCCCCCACTGACACCAACGATGGGGCACTATTCCTCCCCCCACTGACACCAACGATGGGGCACTATTCCTCCCCCCACTGACACCAACGATGGGGCACTATTCCTCCCCCTGATACCAACGATGGGGCACTATTCCTCCCACTGACACCAACGATGGGGCACTATTCCTCCCACTGACACCAATGATGGGGCACTATTCCCCTCACTGACACCTATGATGGGGCACTATTCCTCCCACTGACACCTATGATGGGGCACTATTCCTCCAACTGATACCAATGATGGGGCACTATTCCTCCCACTGACACCAATGATGGGGCACTATTCCTCCCACTGACTCCAATGATGGGGCACTATTCCTACCACTGATACCAATGATGGGGCACTATTCCTCCCCCACTGACACCAGTGTTGGGACACTATTCCTCCCACTGACACCAACTGGGGCACTAATGATGGGGCACTATTCCTTCCACTGACACCAGTGATGGGGCACTATTCCTCCCCCACTGACACCAATGATGGGCACTATTCCTCCCACTGACACCAATGATGGGGCACTATTCCTCCCACTGACACCAATGATGGGGCACTATTCCTCCCACTGACACCAATGATGGGGCACTATTCCTCCCACTGACACCAATGATGGGGCACTATTCCTCCCACTGACACCAATGATGGGGCACTATTCCTCCCACTGACACCAATGATGGGGCACTATTCCTCCCACTGACACCAATGATGGGGCACTATTCCTCCCCCCACTGACACCAATGATGGGGCACTATTCCTCCCACTGACACCTATGATGGGGCACTATTCCTCCCCCACTGACACCAATGATGGGGCACTATTCCCCTCACTGACACCTATGATGGGGCACTATTCCCCTCACTGACACCTATGATGGGGCACTATTCCTCCCACTGACACCTATGATGGGGCACTATTCCTCCCACTGACACCAATGATGGGGCACTATTCCTAAAACTGATACCAATGATGGGGCACTATTCCTCCCACTGATACCAATGATGGGGCGCTATTCCTCCCACTGACACCAATGATGGGGCGCTATTCCTCCCACTGACACCAATGATGGGGCGCTATTCCTCCCACTGACACCAATGATGGGGCACTATTCCTCCCACTGACTCCAATGATGGGGCACTATTCCTACCACTGATACCAATGATGGGCACTATTCCTCCCATTGACATCAGTGATGGGACACTATTCATCCCACTGACACCAATGATAGGGCACTATTCCTCCCACTGACACCAATGACGTGGCACTACTCCTCCCACTGCAAAATTACAGTTATGAAATAGCAACGAAAATAATTTTATGGTTGGGGGTCACCACAACATGAGGAACTGTATTAAGGGGTCGCGGCATTAGAAATGTTGAGAACCACTGCTATAGAGGAATACTCATCTGTGACTAAACGGATGACTGTCATTGCATTATGGGATAATGAGTGGCCACTCAGCAGCAAGTTATTCATGTACATCACAGAGACATAAAGATGTTTTTTTTTTCCTGATTCAAAGTCTTTTAGCACTCAAGGCAAGGATGCCAAAGTGCTCCTCACCCAAGATCATTAATTTAGCATAGCAAGAACACAAATTGGGAAAAAAAAAAAAAAGGAATGAGGGAGTTAATAAATTATTTTAACTTAAAATTTTAGGGTTAAAAATATAATTGGGGTTAACTACACATTTTATTCTGCGGTTTGTTCCATTTTGTAAAGGCACTAGAATCAGTACAAAGCATTTTTTTAGATTTGGCATTTGGTACTTCAAACAGATGCAATGTAAAAGTTTACATACCAACAATTTAATAAAATGGTAAGGGAAGAAGGAAATAAATGAGGTAATACATTAGGGTAATAGGGGTAGAAATGTTTGCACGTTACAGCAATTTTATGAATTAATGCTAGAATAGTAGCGTTCATAAGTGGATGAAGAGCATGGCTCGAGCTGTCAAGCTGAAAGCTCAGTCCTGCAGATGGCAGAGGGAGAAGGCAGCTCTTCTTGTATAATATTTGGAGCTCCACAACAGCCAGGGACTGTGCTGTGTTCACCAGGAGCGTGCAGACCTCCCGATGCCAAGAGGCCGCCATACTAACAGTTGCATGCCACTGGTTACACAGGGAGAGCTGTGATCCCCCTATGATATGTAATTGGCAAGACTAGCCTCTCTAAACACTTTGGAAGGGAATTGGTTCATCAGTTTTTTTGTGTTGGTTGTGTAAATAGTGCAGCTTCTGCAAAAGCCCATATAAAACAAAGTGTTTTGATGGATGCCTCTACTCTGCACCCTCCCCCCATCCTAAACTTAAATCCCATAGAGCATAGATATACTTACCTGATTCTCCGATCTTCTCAGCACAAGACCAGTCTGGCACCCCCTGCGCTCCTGCGGTCTAGAATAGTGGACTTTTCCTGACATCACACCCACAAAGCAGGCTCCATAGACCAAGAACAGTCCATCGCTGGACTGTGGGGGAGCACCGTTTTCCAGAGGATTGAAGGACTGGGTAAAAATTAGCCTTTTGCTCACCCCTAGACAAAACAAACAATTGACCCATGCAGTGCTGGCACAGTCCCACTGCATGGGAAAAACTTTTTTTTTTTTTTGCCCAGAGATGGGCTTTAAAGTGAATCTGTCCTTTGCCCCATGTAGGGCAAAGCATATTTTACTTAACTGCTACCCTCCAAATCAGCGGCACATTTTTTTAGTTCCCCTCTCTAGTTTATTTCATTCCACTGTTGGAAGCAAAAAGAGAACTCTCTTCCTATCCGCCTGTTCTCGTTGTGATTCATTTTTAGTATATGTGTAGTGCGTTTAATTTTTGTGCGTAAGAAAACGTGCTGCGACCATGTGTACTATCTATTTTTTTTTTATTAAATCCTGTACTATGAGAAATACTGGAGCTTCTATTGCTGACCTTCTTCTGGGAATGCTAGTTGCCTTGCTGACTCTGGCGTTTATATATAGTCACTGACCTGAAGAAGTAAGAAATTAGAAAACTCCTAATCTGCACACTTGTTTCCTTCCTTTCACTGACCTAGGAAGTGTTGAAGCTATTGGATCATCCAGGCAAGTAGCGTATTCATAAGGAGAGGTTAGCAGTGTCAACGTGCTCGGCTATTCTTCTCTCACTACAGGCTTTTCTTTCACATTTTGATTTCTTTTCAATGGTAAGGATTAAAAAAATAAATGTAAAGTGATTCTAAAGGCTTGTTTTTTTAGAAAAAATATCAACCACATATATGTACTTACCTGCTGTGTGCAGTGGTTTTGCACAGAGCAGCCTGGATCCTCCTCTTCTCGGGTCCTCTGCAGGCTTTCCTGGTTTCTCCCTCCTGTTGGGTGCCCCCACAGCAAGCAGCTTGCTATGGGGGCACCAGCTGCTCTGTGTATCCATTCACACATGGAGCTGCGGCTCAGCCTCTCCCCCTCTCTCTTCTCTTTGGCTCACTGGCTGTGATTGACAGCAGTGGGGGCCAATGGCTCCCGCTTCTGTCTCAGCCAAGGAGGAGAGGGAGTCGCGGGATAGCTGAGGCTCCAGTGCACTTCCCTGGATCAAGAGAGGGCTTAGGTGAATATTAGGGGGGCTGTGGGGATGCTGCACACAGAAACTTTTTTACCTTCATGCATAGAATGCATGAAGGTAAAAACACCTTGAGCCTTTACAACCACTGTAAAATAATCTCAGATAAATAAATGGATTGTATAGTAATATATTTTATTTGAGTTTCCTCTTCATAGCTCCATATCAGACTTGCCTAGCAGTCTGATTTAAAGAAGGCTCTGTAGCTCAAACGGTAATTTTACACACAGAAAGCTGAATGGCTCTTTGGATTGACTGTTATCACATGGCTCAATCCAACTTTTTACAAACAAAAAGAATTCTATTCAAGGATGCATACTTAATTAAAAAATGTTTGTTCTATTGCTGTCATCCCCCTCCAGATATCCAAATTCCATTTTCTTTTTCTTTTCTTTTTTCTTTGCGTGCTGTGATTTCCTGTTGGAGGGTGACGGTATTTGTTCACCAAGGTCCCAGTGTATGCAGGACTGTATCCACCCTCTCTTGCTCACTCCCAAGTTGGACTAGGGACTATTGACTAGAGTGTATGGGATATGCAGTGTACATATGACCACAACTAACATGCA